AAAAGATAGTATTATTAAGTTGGAGTACAAGGGGTACTCCTACCCGTACAAAAAGAGTAGATTATAAAGTTAGGGTGATACTATCAACACATTCATACGAAAGTTTACCCCAAAATCTACCCCAAAATATAGATCATCCAAACAGTGATGGCATGGCCTTCCTTATCCTACAACTGTTTTCATCCCTGTGTGATGTAATATTCTTTTTTTTTTCTTTCCTTTTTTTTTTTCGATTTTGGGTTGCACAATGGGATGTAACTTTCTCCTATCTCTTAACCCACCCACATGCCATGCAACTTGAACCAAGGATCTCTTACTTCCCACTTGAAGGAGATTACCATCAGACCACTTTGGTCCTTGGCACAATGTAAAAGTCATAATTACATAAGAAGTCTAATATTTGAGTTATTTTTCCATTGATTCTTCTGTTGAATCATAAACTGATATAGACAGCCTTGAAGAATCTGTATTTAAGTTTGTGTTGGAAAAATTAGGGCTTAGGGATGAACGTGTTTGGTTTGCAAGATAAACGAAGGGGAGAAATTTAACTGGATTAGAATTTTTCCCCTCCCATTCATTTCCCTTAAACCAAACATGCTCATCATTAATCCCTAATTCTTGGTACACAAGATTAATGTAGAATAAAAGTTGTAGAAAGCTTTAGGTTGCTGTGAACAGGAACTCATGTTACTATAGCAACAAGAAAGTAGGTAAGACAGAGAAATAAGAGATCATGAATGCAATGCAGTGTTGAAAAAGTGCACCAATGCTGTGACTTGCCACCTTACCTTGGTTTCTAGGCAGAACCTAGCATTTCGCCATGCCTAGAGTGCCTAGCTGCAATTAATTGTGCCTAAAGTGCCGAATCAAATTTTTTTCTTATTAGCTTAAAACTTCATCATATTAATTTAAGACATTAAATATAACTTAGTTAATAATGATAATGATTGTAATCCCACAAAGTTAGGGTATGTTTAGTAACTTTGCTATTTTTTGGTCTGTGATTTTGGTTGTCAAAAATTAAACAACATTAAAATAAAATATAATAAAATAAACTAAAAAAATTTTAGTTGTGGTTGAGTTTTGCAAATTTGTACTTAACATGCCAATTTTAGTTTTCATTTTCAGCTTTAGTTGTCAATTTTCATTGTTGTCAACTTTTTAAACAGGCCCTAGTTTTTTGTAATCCCATTAATTTAATTACATAACAATCATAAATATATAATCCCAATAATTTACGCTCTGTTGAGTATGGTTGTGTTTTTTGGTTTAGATTTTTATAAATTTTACAACTCTAGTTTCATATGTTTTTACAACATGTTATTATGATTGTTAGAGAAATAAGAACAAAAAATAGTTCTAGAACTATAATTGGTTTTTTGTTTTTACAAATTTTACAACTCTAAACAAAAAAGCTCATTTAGTTTTATGCGTTTTTGCAACATATTATTATTGTTAAAGAAATAAAAACAAAACTAGTTTTAATACCATTAAATAAGTTCATACTTTAGTTGTGAGTGTTAAAACCTATCTTAAACTAATTATAGCTCTTCGTTTTTAGTTTTGGTTTTTAGTGATTGTAGAAAGTATGAAAACCAAAACTAAAAATTAAAAGCCACAACCATGCAAAACAAAGCGTTACTTTTTGTAATCACATTAAATTTAATTTAGTTAATAATGATAATTATGTAATCCATTAATTTATTTATTGCAATCCATTAATGATAATTATGTAATCTAATATTTTTTATTAGTTATATTAGTCATATACTCTCTCTATTTTTATTTAGTTCTCAGACTTTCTAAATTAAGGTATTTTTATTTAGTTGTCTT